CCGCCATTTGCCCATCCCTGATGTAAGTGATATGTGTACACATATACATCATTAGTCAAAACAGGGCTAAATTTGATTGAATTATAAAAGGTATATGTGGTAAAATGAAGAGCCGTTTGGTGAGCCGAGCCAAATGATCCGGCTCACTAAAAAGAGCCGGAAATCCCATCACTACAAAGGACGCTTATCTGCACGCATAGAGTGCTCACTTGTGTTTTCCCTAAGCCCCGCCTCCAATTAGCAGCGCCACGGCCGGTCTCGGCTCAGTAGAATGAATCGAGAGAGAAAATAACCTTTAGCGCATTTTACAACTTTTAAACCCTAATGATTTAAAATATGGGCAATACAAGTGTTCGTACTGGGTAATATAGTTACAAATAAATCATGAACCTATTTACAGACATGTATTTCCAAATAATAGTCAATGGGAAAAAGTATTTTTTGAGCCCTATGGCGTCAAGGAAGATGTAATACCATATTTTGGCCACTAGGACACTTCGCTTAAACGCCCTGCGAACTTCCTGGGGGATTGGGTTATGTTATTGATTTGATTTGTCTGTTTGTCAGCCGAATTGCAGAAAAACTGATCAAATTTTCACCAATGCTCCATTACATACAGGAGCGCGTCCGAATCATGGTTTGGATCCCAACATTTCTTTTAGATAGCAAGATATGAAAATGAAGGGTTAACGCCTAAACCTAACCCTCAGCCTTAGAAGTGATATATCTGCTTTCCAATGCAATTCTAGTTCTCTGCTTCATTTTAATTAGGGATCCACATCGAAAGTATTCCCCCTTGAAAACGAGATGGTGCATCTCAAGGGGTTTATCCCAATGAATAAAAATGTCTATATAAGTATTCACTGTTGAGACCAACACAGTCTCACTCCCTGACAGCCCAATAGCGACGCTTGGAATGTATTCCCATCGGCGGCGGTATTTGACACTTAGGGAAGCACCGCATCGGTCCATGTCTCAATCACGGGGTTTTTCAAGCAAAGCGGCTGGTGTAGTCCTAAACGATAGCTGAGGATTATGGGTAGTGTAGTGTTTTCTGCCATTCTAGACTCCGAAAAAATATTTGTTTCTCCGAATCGAAGGGGAGAAATACAAAAGCATTGTACACAATTTAAACCAATCAATGTTGTGTAATTAACAAGGATAATCTGGTGTTTTTGAGTTGATGAGTAGTGCAGATATCACTGTAAAATCTATCGACAGTAAGGAGTACTTACTTCCGGGTGTAAAATTCTCCGCTATCCAATGGGAATGGACGCTCACATTTCCTTTAACTGCCGCCGACATGGACCGATCATGGGACCAATGCGGTGCTTCCCTGAGTATCAAATACCGCCACCGATGGATGGGAATACATTGCAATCAGTTGAAAGCTCTTTGCGTCCATTTATGAAGCTGAAGGAGACTCGGTGCGTCACAACTGCACGCCAAAGGACCCTGGCCAAGCGTCGCTATTGGACTATCAGGGAGTGAGACTGTGTTGTTGAGACAAGAAAAGCCTTATCTTGCAATGTTAACGAAGGGGAAAAATAATGTGTGTATTAAAAGTGGGGTATGTAATTTATTTCAGAAACACTTTTTGTTATATTCCATGGAATGCTCTTAACATCCCGATAGCAATGAATATATTAAATGCTTTGACAATAAATACATTAAAAAAAATTCATCTGTGGAAGCCGTAGCGCTGTAAAAAGCAAGACCGGCCCGGCTAAAATAACTGGATGGCCTACCTGCCTGTCAGCCTTCCATCTGTGCACAAACTTATCTCGTGCCCTCATTGGTCATGTGCGCGTTCGTGTGTGTTGGAGGAGGGGCTCTGGAAGGAAGTCTGAAGGAAGAGGCAGATTTTTTGCGGTTGTGTATTTTCAAATTCTAGCGCACTCGAGCTGGTTTCTCCAAAATTACATACCCCTCCTTTAAATCCTTAATTCGGATCCACCCATGGCCAAATCTATACCTTTCCACCAAAGTTTCGCGTGAGACTGCACTAACAACAACAAACCAAAAAACATTCTTGACAGAGACTCTAGTTTGTCAAATGAAGTTAAAGTGACAAAGTAATATTAATTTTTTTACATCACTATTGATTTTCTTCAAATCCACCTTGAAAAAACAGTTCTGCTTTGATTGTCACTTGGAATAATTTCTGACAAGATTCACACAGTATAATACATTTGCAAGAACACCCACAAATAAGACAGCTTAGAGAAAGCTGAGAAATAAACAGAAGCAGTGGTGACTCAAATTTCACCAGATTACCGTTCTTGATAAACACACTCGCCCACGCACACAACAGGAGCGACACAAAAGAGAAACGCTTACACAACGTCATTGAGCTCCAGCCTGGTGTCAGGAGAGGGGTTGATCAGGACGTAAGACAGGGTGTTCTGGTGATCGTTCTGCTCATCTGAAACAGGAAAATCTCCTCGATCAGAAAACTGGATTAGTTGGGTTTCTATTATGCAGTTATGATATCATTTCTAGTTGCTAGAGGACTGTGATTTATGTCTTTACCTTGTAGGTATCCCAGATTGACTCTGTTCATGACGTCGCTGGCTGTCAGGTTAGTGAGGTCTTCTGCACAGTAGAAACAGACTTTTTAAGGTTCTACTCACGGTTGTTTTAGGGGGTTTTCTTTGGGAATATATATTTGTGGTTTTGGCTGATATTGGAGCAGTATAAGGAAAGATTGACTGAAAAACTGAGCAAAACTGAACAAATAATTGGCAAAATTAAGATTCAAAATGAACGGCTATTACACATCTTTAGGAATTTGAGAGGATTCAAAAGAGATCCAGAATTGATCGTCTTCCTTCGAGACTGGTATGTAATGTCTATTTTATTTACAGAATCCATTGTGTGAATGCGTAAATGCGTGAATTAACGTTGGTGGCTAAGACAAAGTCAACTTTGTTTCATCATTTCATTTTCATAGTTATTTTGTTAAATAACTACAAATAAACTTAACACAAAAAGTAAGGACATTTGTGTTAGATAGATTATTTCTTTGTTGTAACAATGCTTCTTGGCAATACATCTTATACCGTTGGAAAGCCTGTATATTTACCTTTCAAATGGTGCGGCATTTGTGAGGAACATGCATTTGTGAGATGAAAAATGTGGCAATTCTCCTCTGCAATATTTGTATAATAAAGAAGTTGCGTCTAAACAAATGTCCAGATAGCCAGATTAAGATCTTTATGACAAGAGGAGGTGGTGCTCATTGGAAAAACTGCCGCTTTTGTCCACAGGGGCCGCTAAAATCAATACAAAAGTTCTGTTCTAGCTGCTTAAATCAGAAGTATTAAACTTTTTGGAAAATGTAACCTCGCTCTGACCAGTTGCCTCATGACCTTCCTCACCATATCCTGAGGTGGGGAGGCCCAGATGCCTCATGCGGTTGCGGACCAGCTCGGAGAGCTCCTCCCTCTCTGAGCGGCGGTACAGGTTGAGGCGCTGCTGGGCGATGCGCTGGCCGTGGTCCCGGCTCGAGTCCCGGCTGGACCCCTGCCACCTCACGCTCTTCTTACTCAGACGCCGGGCCCACTGCATGCTCTTCTTCCTCAGCAGGGGGTGATCTGACTGTTCGTTGCTGCGAGACTCCTCCCCTTTCTCCTTGGTGTCCTCACATTCGTCCACACTGACTGACACCTGAGACTGAGGCGGAGACACAGGAAGTAACCTTTACATCACCTTGAAGTGTGTTTATGATAGTAACATGTTTTATATGAACGAAAATACTCCATCGCACAATCTGCTCCACAAATCAGAATTGCTCCAAAATGAAATGAGTTCCTCTTTGGAAAATGGTCACCTTTCTCAAAGCCCATGATGATGTCTTAAAATATCTTGTTGTGTCAGTATATGTTTGTTGTCATGATATTAAACCTATTTTAAAGGCTGTACACAAATGTGTCGACCATTTTTGCATGAAAAATTATTTAAAAAATGTATCTATTGTCAAGCTTTCCACTATCTATGGACTACTTTATAAGTTGTCATATAATTGCAGCTCAAAGCTTCCGTTGCGGAGGTAGCAAAGTGTTATTGCGTCAAAGCTGGATGTTTAGCTTGTTACGACTTCCATCATCATCTCAGGATCTCACCTCAGAAGTTGGGAAAATGTGGGATTCTGTCCGATAGATCCCAATAGGAATTTCGGCACTCGAGGAGCAGAGTTTCTGGAACAGTCTGCCATAAGTACTGATCCACAGATCTTCCTCTGTTACCTTCATCTGGAAGGAGGAACGCAGGGGTAAACTATGGCACTGTGTTAGATTATTCATTTTTTCTTAGAGATGTTTTTTATTTGATTAAACTCACAGCACAGAGGTACCCTGACCCTGGAGTGGTGTCCAGCCCCAGCAGCAGCCTTGCAATAAGGATCATGTAGTCCTTCACAAAGGACTGGAATCACAGAGAACATTTTACATTAACAGAACAAACAAAACACTTTGGTTTTCTACCAATGACTGAACACAAGAGGGCACTTTTGCTTTATTCTGCTTTGCTTCTCAGTTTCTTCAGGTAGTACTGCTGCTGTAGGATTTCATTTTTTTACCTGGCATTGAAAGTGTTATTGGAGGAGCTTTGCTGTGTGTACCTACCTGATACAGCAGGGTGTCCAGCATGCTGATACTGAACACTCGCCCTGCAGCGAAGGGTAGGCGAAACATGAAGGCCAAGTTGGAGCCTTTATCACGCTCTTTCTGTGTGGGAGAGCCAAGACAAATTGAAAAGAGCAATGATTTTAAAGGTCTGTCACTTTTCTGATAGAAAGTCAGAGGGAAGTGGCAAACATAAAAAACAGTGGTACAAAAAGAAAAACACTCTCTTCTGCAACTCCTCTTTATATTCATGCTCATAACGAATGCCTTGTCTTTTATGCTGTTGCAACAAAAACAATTTCCCAAATTGGGATCAATAAAGTACCATCTTATCTTATCTTATCTTATAACTCTGCCCCATTCACCATGTTGTGTTTTACCTTCTCAAGTTTGGACAGGGCCAGTGAGTAGCAGTCCTTTGCCCTGAACTGCATGAATCTCATGTTAGAGGGATGAGTTAGCTCTGTGATGATGCTCAGACTGGGAAACAACCTGGAGAAAGAGAGAAGGGTGTTCATTTACAAAAACACGATGTATTAAACCTAAACGTATCTTACTACAGCCACAGCATTCTGGTTATGGCCATAGTCACAACACCTGGGATTTATATGTATATATTGTTATTGTTGCATCTTACTTGCACTATTAGGTCGCATTCACAGTGCGCTTCTTTGGTGCGCACCAGAAGCAAGTTTGTTACATTGTTTAATTTTCTAGAAGGTTCGGTTTGCGTTCAACTAAAAACTCAAAAGGACTATACACTTTAACACTAGAGCCGCCAGAGGTCGCTGTACCAATTCATTAAACTTCAGTAAAGCTGACGTCTGTGCCGGAGTTTCTTTGAAAGTGTTGAACTGGATGGATAGCTAGCTTGGTGATAGTGAGACCTTAACAGCGACACAGAGGATGAAGACTTCAGTCGATAAATGTGACTTATACACCGAAGCAACTTATATATGTTTTTTTTCTCTTAAAGACACGTTTTTTAACAAGAGAGACTTATACTCAGGTGCGACTTGTAGTCCGGAAAATACGGTAATGTTATCTTGGCAATTTCATAGTTATTCTGCAATTCTGTAATACTATGACAGTGACGTGAGCAGTGATGTGAGCAGTGATGTGGTGATGTGACGTGCAACGTGGTTGTTAAAGGACATTGTGTGTTTGTTGTCCTCAGAATAAATGCCAGATGACAGAGGAGATGCTTTGCTGTCAATTCTTCCACATACTCTATTGATAATGAGTCACCTGCAGTTGTGACCCGTGAAAACATTGATGCTCTCTTTGTTTTTTGATAGATTTTACACAATTAAAGTGCAGAAGAGTGCAGCTTTTGGTTTTGTGTTTTTTTTATAAAAGGTCGTTTTTATTTAAATGTTTCATTCTTTCTAATGATCCTAATGTAAATAGTATCCTCTTAAGTCCCAAGCCTGTTTTTCAGGTTTCAGGCTCGAAAATGACATTCCCAGAACAAATGACCATCTTCCCTTCTAAAAGGGTTAAATTAATAATCTTTTTTCTCAAAGTAATGATAAACCTGTGAGTTGGATG